CCTGAACATGCAGAAGGTCCAGCCAGAGGGAAGGAACCAAAGTGCAGTCCCAGAGCCACACCTGCCTCCTTCCTGGGGCACTCTTTATTGTTCCTCTGATAGAGAGAGATGGGAGTTATCTGGTGATTCTGTGGACTTGGCAATGGCATCATCCTTCCATCTTCTCTGTCTTATCAGTCTCGAAACCATCTTAAAGAGATGTTCTGAAGCTGCCATGGGATCTGAGTCTCCTAGACATGAGTTTTCCAAGAGAGAGGCAGAGGGGAACACTCCTACAGGGACAGACCTTGCCTGAGGGAACGAGTAAGCCTCTGCAGGTCTGAATGGTGATGTGATCAAAGAACTTTGAGATGAAAATGTACTCTGGCCCCATCACCCAGGAAGAGATGGAGAAGGATTTCAAGCTGTTTATACACACTTCATTACAAGAAGGATCTTTTCTGGAAAGATTTCTTAAAGTGTACCAACATATGAAAAGACTCGGTAATTTGGCAGTCAGCAGTTGTGAACATCTCCTGCAAAACAAAGAGCTCATGAGCTATCTTGAGGAGAGCAAGTTCGATGCCATCCTTACAGACCCTGTAATACCTTGTGGGGTGATCCTGGCTGAGCATCTTTCCCTTCCTTCTGTGTACTTCTTACGAGGAATCCCATGTGGGTTAGATTTTGAAGCCACTCAGTGTCCCAATCCTCCTTCCTATGTGCCCAGGGCATTTTCAGAACTGACAGACCACATGACCTTTCTCCAGCGAGTGAAGAACCTGCTCTTTGACACCCAAAACCTTTTCCTCTGTAATTTTGCCTTTGACCCGTTCTCAAAACTGGCTTCAGATTTCCTGCAGAGGGAGGTGACTGTGCAGGATCTCTTACGGAAGGGCTCTGTTTGGCTCCTGAGGCTGGAATTTGTGCTTGATTATCCAAGACCCTTGATGCCCAACATCATTCCAATTGGAGGATTAAACTGTGCTCACAAGGAGCTGCCTCAGGTGGGTCACACTCTGTTTTCAATTTGTGTGGTGATAGATTTCTGTGTTCAGGAGCCTTGAATCTTGTGTTGCAGGTGGCAGTTTTCTTCCCATGCCGTGTGTTTGGATGAATGCTCATGAATTTTTCCCTCCCTTTCCTTTTGTAGGCAGCAGTCCTGTACCTTCTCACCTCTAAAGTGTGCTCTGCATGTGCTGTTTTCAGTTCATGGATTCAGAGCTGCTTTGTGTGACTTTGTGTAACTTGGTAGACTCTTAGTGAGTGACGAAGTAGTCTGTGGAGCTGTCAAAATCTTGCAGTCAGGTGCAATCCCTAATTAGCAAATTGTTGTAGTTGGGTCTGGTGTTTACTGAGAAATGCACCTCAGGCTTCTGTCCTTGTTGCCTCACTGCATCTTTCTTTGCCAGTGAATTTTTTGTGCTTCTTCACCTGGGTATTTCGCAAGCTCTAATCTGGAGGAAGGTGTCAGGCTGGGGGCTCTCAGGGTGGGAAGCAGGCCCTCTGTTTGCAGGCAGATCTAGGAAAACTTTGGCTTGGTGATGATGGCTGTGTGAGGTATAGCAGCCAATTTCAGAGGTCTCAAGGGGCTTTGCAGGTGGCGCTCAAAGGTGACAAAAGTGCCAAAGGTTTTGTTATAAAACACAAGGCTTATCTGGTGCATCCCCCACATTTATCAGGTTCCTGAACTTTGCTGCTGGTTATTCAGCCTGTTATCACACCGGTGATTACACATTTACCACACAGCAGATAAAGCAAGGATACAAAGTTGGGCTGCAGCACAGATTGATTGGAAGCGCAGAGCAAGCGCTGGAGCTCCTGCGCTGCCGCGGGGTTCCTTCCCTGGAAGCACTCAGCTGATCCCTGCAGGAATGGCCATGGGGCTCAGTGCTTCTCCACCAGCTGTGCTTCTGCTCCTCTCCCTGCTGGGTCTGGCTGCTGCTGGGAAGCTCCTGGTGGTGCCAGTGGATGGGAGCCACTGGCTCAGCATGAGGGAATTGCTGGACATGCTCCAGCAGAAGGGACACGAGGTGGTTGTGGTGGCACCTGAAGTCTCCCTGCAGATCAAACCATCCAAGACCTTTGAGATGAAAATGTACCCAGTGCCTTTCACTCGGGAAGAGATGGATAAAGTTTTCAAAGGATCAGTAATGGATTTATTTAAAGGAGGACCTTTTCTGGAAAGAGTTATTAGACAGTACCAACAGGCAAAGAAGACCTCTGCTCTGTTCCTGGCCACCTGCACACACTTAATTCACAACAAGGAGCTCATCAGGTACCTTGAGGAGAGCAAGTTTGATGCCGTCCTCACAGACCCTATCCTCCCCTGTGGGGCAATACTGGCCGAGTATCTTTCCCTGCCTTCTGTGTATTTCCTGCAGCAAATTCCATGTGGTTTGGAATATCAAGCCACCCAGTGCCCCAATCCTCCTTCCTATGTTCCCAGAGTATTTACAGACCTTACAGACCACATGACCTTTCTCCAGCGGGTGAAGAACATGCTCTATGACATGCCAAATTTCTTCCTCTGCGATGTTGTCTTCCAACCTTATGCAGAACTGGCTTCAGAGTTCCTCAAGCGGGAGGTGACCGTGCCGGATCTCCTGCGCCAGGCTTCCATTTGGCTCATGAAGCTGGACTTTGTCTTGCACTTCCCAAAACCCTTGATGCCCAACATGGTTTTGATTAGTGGAGTAAATTGTGCTTACAAGAAGCTAAGTCAGGTGGGTCACCCTGTGTTTTCTCTTCTTGTTCTTGCAGGCTTTAGAATTGTCTGGGATGCTGAAACTCAGCTTTCATTAGAAAGGAGGATTTCAAACTGCTTGTGCTTTGCAGGAAAGTGCTGGTTCTGGTATCTGTGAAGGATTATCAGGGTAGAAAGGCGGAGAAAGTGTTGTATAAGGAATTAGCTCTCGTTGAATGCCCTTTGGTCCTGTGCCTCTGCTCCAAGGCAGCTTTGAATTGGAGTGGGTTCCTCAGAGCTTCTTCCATTAAGGATGTTGATCTGACGCAAGAGACACTTGAAAACATGAACACACGTGTTCATTTATCCTCTGGTCCAATATGGCTGATTTCCTCTCCAATTGTCTCCTTTCATTCCTTTAATGAAGGATTTTCAATGCTCTGAATTGTCATAGGCTCATCAAACATTGTCACCATGAAGGACATTTGAGGTCTCTCTGAGAACCTCCTGTCAAAGCATGTCCAGTGAGGTCAGGATGTTCCTTTCTCTGTCTTGTTCAGTTTTAAGTGTCCCTACAATCTGTAAATTTTGGTACATTTGTGTAAATTGATACTCTCTTAGTGAGTGACAAACACGTCTGTGGGGCTATGAAAGCCTTGCAGTCAGGCGCAATCCCTAATTAGCAAATTGTTGTAGTTGGGTCTGGTGTTTACTGAGAAATGCACCTCAGGCTTCTGTCCTTGTTGCCTCACTGCATCTTTCTTTGCCAGTGAATTTTTTGTGCTTCTTCACCTGGGTATTTCGCAAGCTCTAATCTGGAGGAAGGTGTCAGGCTGGGGGCTCTCAGATTGGGAAGGAGCCTCTCTGTTTGCAGGCAGATCTAGGAAATATTTGGCTTGGTGATGATGGCTGTATGAGGTGTAGCAGCCAATTTCAGAAGTCTCAAGGGGCTTTGCAGGTGGCTTTGGAGTTGGTTCTCAAATGTGACAAAAGTGCCAAAGGTTTTGTTATAAAACACAAGGCTTATCTGGTGCATCCCCCACATTTATCAGGTTCCTGAACTTTGCTGCTGGTTATTCAGCCTGTTATCACACCGGTGATTACACATTTACCACACAGCAGATAAAGCAAGGATACAAAGTTGGGCTGCAGCACAGATTGATTGGAAGCGCAGAGCAAGCGCTGGAGCTCCTGCGCTGCTGCGGGTTTCCTTCCCTGGCGGCCCTCACTTGATCCCTGCAGGAATGGCCATGGGGCTCAGTGCTTCTCCACCAGCTGTGCTTCTGCTCCTCTCCCTGCTGGGTCTGGCTGCTGCTGGGAAGCTCCTGGTGACATCGGTGGATGGGAGCCCCTGGCTGAGCATGCGGGAGGGTTTGGACATGCTCCAGCAGAAGGGACATGAGGTGGTTGTGGTGGCACCTGAAGTCTCCCTGCACATCAAACCATCAGAGAACTTTGTGATGAAAATGTACCCGGTCACCTACTCCCAGGAAGATATGGACAATGCATTCAAGGCATTTTTCCATATCACATTTGAAGAAGGATCTTTTCTGGAAAAATATTTTAAAGTGTTTGAAGCTGTGAAAAAATTCACTGATTTTGGGTTCTCCAGCTGTAGAAGTCTCCTGCAAAACAAAGAGCTCATCAGGTACCTT